CAAAGCATATTCTCTTGACCTGATTCTTCTATATAATCTCCTAAGGAATCTATTAACCAGAAGGCTGGTGGTTCAGACCCACCAGCCACTTCCCGGAAGGAAAGTTGGGCCATCTACTTCCGTAGTGATCCTGCCTTGGAAATACAAGGAGGGGTCACTATCAGTCGGACCTGACTCGATGGCAGTGGGTTTTGGTTTTAGTCACATTTAGTGCTTTCTTTCGAATATATAGACTTTGTCCATTTTAATCTTGAAACTTTCCTGTCCAACTATTTTTCTTGACAGGGCCAGAACGAAAATAGTGTACTCTATGTATAGTCGAAAAGCAGCTGAAGAAGTGAAGCAACAGTTGATTAAGTTAAAAGTCAATTATTATATTCTAGAAGAGTCATGGTGTATAAGAAGATCCAAGTGAGTATTCACCACAATCAGTGTTTTATAAAACATGAAAAGTCAATTGTGTTTCATGACAGGTGCTACTTAGTGGTGGCATATGTGAAATGTATATAACATTTTACAAAGTTTAAATGGAAAACCATTTTTAAATAAATATTTAAATGAGATTTTTTTTATTTCCTATTTGTTATACATATCAATTTATTTTATATTGTTTTGCATGCACCTTAAAAAAATTATAATATCAGGAGCTCTGGTAGCACAGTGCTTAAGGCATCTGACTGCTAACCAGAAGGCTGGGAGTTTAAACCCACCAGCCACTTGGCGGAAGCAAGACTGAGCAATCTACTTCCATAAAGATTTATTGCCTCAGAAACCCAATAGGGGTTGCTATGACTCAGAATCGACTCAGATGGCAGTGGGTTGGTTTAGTTTATTTAATGATGATTGGGCAAATTATTCATACTTTCCTTTGATATTTTTAAAAACTTATCTAAATGTAGATCTGCTTTCTTTCAAAAGGCTTCTAGAGTCTCAAACAAGATAATGTAATTATCTCATTTTAATAAAATGAGGCAGCTAAGGAGTTAGGGCCTCTACTGTCTACACATCTCTGTCCTAAGGAGTTAGGGCCTCTACTGTCTATATATTTCTGTCCACATCTCATCCCGTGGATTGATGCAACCCTCTGTCAGCTCAGTTTGAAATGAAACTTTCCTTTCTTGTTTCACATCTTGTCTGAGTTGGAAAATAATTAATTTTGCTATGACCCATATTCTGTTGTTTACATTTAAAAATATATCTAGTTCTATGGAGAGGTTCTTTAAGCAAGATATAGCTACTAGTGTCAGTAAGATCTTGAAAGCAAATATAAATTCTAATGGTGACTATTTAGAAATGCTGTTCATAGGTAGCTAGACAGCAGATGATAGTAGCCTCATGTGACATTTGGCATGCACCTAGTAAAGTATCAGGTTCACGTGGTAAAGGGCATTAGAAGCAATTTCATCAGAAATGAAGAATGTTTTATGGAATAATACTACTTTTAAAATTCTTATTATTCTGCAACTAAACATGACCTCTGATAGCATAGTGGCTAAGGCACTTGACTGCTAACCAGATGGCTGGCGGTTCAAACCCATCAGCCACTCCTCAGAAGGAAGATGGGGCAATCTACTTCCGTAGTGATAATGCCTCGGAAACCCAAGGAGGGGTTGCTATGAGTCGGGTCCGACTTGACGGCACATAACAACAACAACAACAAACATGACCTTGGAAGCAGCAGTCAAGAAATAAATGACATACTGCTTTGGGCAAATCTGCTACAAAAAAAAAACCTCTTTAAAGTATTAAAGAGCAAAGATGTCATTTTAAAGAGTTAAAGTACACCTGGCCCAAGCCATGGTATTTTCAGTAGCCCCATGTATGTGAGAGCTGCACAGTGAATAAGGAATACCAAAGAATTGATACATTTGAATTGTGGTATTGGAGAAGAATATTGAATAGACCATGGACTGCCAGAAGAATGAACAAATCTGTCTTAGAGAGAGTATGGCCAGAATATTCCTTAGAAGCCAGGGTGGTGAGACCTTGCCACATACACTTTGGACATGTTATCAGAAGGAACCAGTCACTGGAGGAGGACATCATACTTGCTAAAGTAGAAGGTAAGCGAAAAAGAGGAAAACCCTTACAAGATGGATCGACAGGATGGCTACAACAGTGTGCTCAAACATAGTGATTGTGAGGATGGCGCAGGACTGGGCAGTGTTTCGTTCTGTTGTATATGGGTCACTGTGAGTCAGAACTGACTTCATAGCACGTAACAACAAACAGAAGGCTTCAGTAGATTGATACACCTGTGACTTAATCATACTCATTCACCATCTATTTTAATAATACATAAAATTATTATGAAAAATTATTCATTATTGACTGAGTGAAAATTTTGTGGCATACCATCTACATATCTTTTTCACCAAATAAACTTAAATAATTACTGATCATTGAATGATTTTCTTCTGAATATATGCCAGATGATCTGAATTTAATTAATATTTATAGGAAAGGTTTTGTTCCTATAGTTATAATTTAAAAAAAAAATGAGTTGTTATGAGTCAGAATTGACTTGACAGTGATGGGAATTTTTGGTTTTCTTGCTTTGGGCGCTAATCACCAATTCATTTATGCCAATTGGAGACACCTGTAAGTTACTGAGACATTAAAACATAATTTCCATAATCTTTTTTTCTCTGCAAGCTAACAATGACTACTGTGGCTATATAGCAGGTTTTGAGATCCAGCAGCATGAGACCTTCTACTTTGTTCTTCTTCTTCAGTAGTGCTTTGCTTATCCAAGGTCTCTTTCCTTTCCAAATAAAGTTAGTGATTGTTTTTTCCATATCCTTAAAAAATGTTGATGGGAGGTTCCGGCAAGATGGCGGACTAGGCAGAAGGATTGCACAGACCCTCTTCAACAAAGAAAAGGGAAACCAGTTGACACAAACACAGAAGATAATCTTGGACCGCTGAGCCTTGAAGGGAAGGATACAGAAGTAGACTCAACCCCAACTAGCAGAGGAATTTGTGTGAAAATACCAAAAAAGGAGACATACAGAGCTGCGGTCTGGCAGGGACTTGAACGCCCCTGACGACACAAACGGCTTGGACATTCCCGAGTGGTGGTAGGACCTAAAAATTAACCTAAAAATCACCCTGCTAGCCAGGGACTGCACGGTCAATGCACGGTGGCTGGGGAACAAACAGAGAAGGTGAAGAGAAAGGTGGGCTGAGTTGTGGACTTTTGCTGGTCCGGAGGGTGCCGCCATTTTGTAGGTTTAAAAAGCGGCTTGACTATTTTGGATATTTAAAGAGACAGCACTGTCGAAGATTCCTGTGGTGTAGGACTT